GAGGCATAATAGGGATTTTTGAATGACTGCTGCAAAAGCATCAGAAGTCTGTGTTTCCCACAGCACAGCTCTAAAGACACTGGAGATTTATCCCTGAGTACAAAGAAACTTAGAACCAGATGATTTCTCTTTGTCCGTACAACTGGAGATTTTCATCACAAAGTGTGATGCCAAAAGAGGCAAATCTATTTATGTATGTTGAGGGGAGTTCATAATGGCTTTAAATGAAAGTGTAAGTTACACTTCATTAAGCTGATGTAATTTGCATCTTGAGGGACAGAAGGACAAAGTCTTAGTAGGAAACACAGTCGACAAGAGATTTTAAAGTATTGCAAGGAAAAGCCATTTTATCACTTTCTTCTCTTTTCTGTTCATTGTTCTCCTGGCATGTTTGGGCTCTGTGGTATAAAGCGCATCTATATCACTTCAGGGATGTGTAACTTTCCGCCACTGCTTAGGACAGCTCTGAATTTGGTTGAGTGATGGTTCAGACAGACCCCTCCCTTTATTCCGAAGTCGGTTTAGATATTTACATTTTTTACACTTATAAAATGAATAAATAAGTTTTGTTGAATCTAAACCCCATGAAGGGGAAATAGAAATCTGAAAAGCATTCTTATATTGCTTGGATGGTCATTCCCCTAAGTATCCCAGTCTAAATTGCAGATAGTGATACTTAACAGTTGTATTTTGTCATCCATGTTTACTGAAGGGATACTTTCACAGCTCCAGCAGAGAAAAGGATTTCACCCAGCCCCGCCTTCTTTTGATTTCTCCAGATTTAATGGACATCACTGCAGTTGAATGGATATTTCACGAGTTTACTTCACACTGAGTGCAAGCAATCACACTCATTATGGCTGTAATATTTGTAAGTTTTCCCTGTTGATGGATGGCTGTTATGTCATTCTATTCAGTCATTTGCATGTTCTGTTTTCTGTGAATTTGTTTCTTGACTGCTGGATAATTTTTCATGGTTGCATAGTGCAGCAATTCTGTGGAAGGTGGCATATTAGTGTTATGGATGCAGTTATGGGAAAGAGGGTATGGTTTGATTGCTGAATACAAACTGCATGGGTTCTGAATAGTTAGGAGCTGCATTGCAGCGTGTCTGCTATATAACCTTTGAGCGTTAACCTGTCTTTTTAATGTTTACAAATGATGAATTACATTCAAACTATGGGAAATACAGATGTATGTGTAGGGATTCTATATATTAATTGAATGTGTATCATACCACTTCAGTTAATTTTTAGTTATTTTTTTGTTAATGCTTAATAGCAGAAATGTATTTGCCAAGATAATATCAGAGTCAAAACATCTATAAGCAAGGTCATAGGAACCCCGAAATGTAATATTTTATTAGTCTAGTTTCATAAAACTCACTTCTGTGAGCTGTAAGTATGCTTAGGGAGTAGATTACAAATTAACCCTTTCAGAGTTTCTTTTGTGGATAACAGTTTGTCTGTGAAATGAAAAACCAGAGGGCACATACTCCCTTGGCCTGCTGTGAAGTTTTGCATTTTTAGAACTAAGGAGAAAGAATGATAAAGTATTCTAAAATTGTAAAAATTCAGTGACTCGTAACTACCAATCAGAGGTTGTGTTAAGGTTCTTTTCCATCATCCTTCCACTGCTGCAGATGTAATGGTTCAGCTTGTTTTGAGTGAAAAAAAAGATATCCTTTTCCAAGTCTTTTCAGTGTGGGTTTATCAATTTCCAAGTCTTACCATTTGTCTCCAATAGTGATAGATAAAAACCATGAATGTTCAATGGGAATTTTCTGCCTTTTTTTTTTCCCCCATTCAGAGATAATTTCTGTAAGTAGAAGATATAATGAGGATACTAGATTAAGTGTATCTATGTGTGTATAAATAAAATTGGTTTGTTACCCATTTGCCAGCATTTTGGCTCAGCTGCAGCAGTGAGTACCATAACCACTTTAAAACTGATTAGACAATTTAACTTGAAATTCAACTCTGGATATGGCAGAGAGAGATAAGCCTGTGAATAGGAGCATGAAACATTAATCTTGCAGTTCTCCAGCTGATTTCAGTAAATCTGGCATGTTGTATTTATTCTTTGGCTTTGAAGAAGTTTAGTCTTATGCTTCCAGTGTGACCTATGCACACTTGAGTGGTCTTTGACTTATACGGGTCAAGAATGACAGGGTATCTGCTGTGTGGACAGAGCTGGTCTAATACCTGCATGTTTGCTTCCTAGGATTGGTCCAATCTAAGAGAGTAAGAGCATGCTTTTCATGCTCTGCCCTTTTTTTCCCTTGTTCCCATGCAGTGGTACACTGATTGCTATTCAAAAGTCACTATTTACCAATCCTCACTGAATCATCATCCTCTGTATTAATACTACATATCATTACCAGGTTCTTATTCCTGCCTGTCAACTCAATGGACTTTGACATTCAAGGCTACACAAATATGTATCAAAATAAAAGTATGCATTACAGCTGTCACAGATACTTCATATTCTAAAAAGAAGGGAAACTGGAGTATTGCTTGCTGGTGATGATTGTGAGGTATTTTACTTTCTTATTTCATATTCTGTTTGTATTTCAAAATCTGTAAAATGATTTTTTCCACTTTCAAAGAGCTTTAAAGATTTCAGAAAAGTATTTATTTTGGATTTTGTTCCATCACAAAAAAGAAGAGCTTAGCACTTAGTAATAAAAGTGGGTTCTTTTTCTGACACATTATAAGTGTTTCTAAAAATTACCTGGAGATTTTCTACTAGACATTTACTTAGACTATTTATTCACTTCTTAAGCAAAGGTAGAAGGATCAGGAGCACAGTCATCTAAAGATGTACACTAGACATTATTTCCAAGAATTGTACAGAAAACAATACTCATTTACAGAAGCACCTTGCTCTTTGACTGTCATTGGTATGGTCTAAAATCTTTTTTTCATCTCTGTTACTTTTTGTCAGTGGTCATTACTGCTTTGCACATGTCTCCTGAAGCTTAAACTACTTTGTTTGTAACATGGCTAGAGCCCATAGTTATGTAGTATAGAAGCTAACTTTTGAAGCAAAGAAGTTGCACATTAACATATTGTGGATATATATCATTGTATGTCTGTTCAGGTCCTTTATTCAGTGTGCTGGGATCCAGGTCCATCCAGCTTTCCAGGAAGTCTGAGAACTGCAGCAGCATCACTCCATCTTCTGCTTAAACACAGAGCCTCACTCTTGGAAGAGTGAGCGGATGTAGCATTTTCAGTGTACCTGGTAGAGCTTTCAGTCATTTTTCAAATACAAAATGCTTACAAAAGAAAGCAATACCATTTTCTCCCTGCTGGTTTTCTGAAATCTCATGGTGGGAAAAGCACTTACAATATATTTCATATGAGCAGGAAGCTTTCAGTAATGACTGGTATTTCTGAGTCTATTGCAGCCAGTGCAGCTGTTGAAAATGTCACTGTGGATGGCACAAACAGGATAGGATTTTGAGCTAGACCTTGTACCATCTGACTTTGATATTGGTTGAAAAGGAAAAAAAGAGCAATAGGATATTTAAAGAACAGACAACCTGTTGGATATAAATGCATAAAATGGAACAAAAATAGAAAAGTATTATTGGTTCTTGACGTCATCAGTAAAATTACTTTATTCAGAATACTACCTGGAAATCTATGGATTTTGCAGACTCTGTGATTGAATTTCACATATCCATGAGGAGAATTTTGAACAATCAGACCAATCTTAATATTCCTGCATTGAGTTGTTGGTATAATTCTCTGACAATGTATGTTGATAGTTTGAAATGTCCCTAATGTTTTCCAAGTAAAATTTTTATTATTATTAGTGACTAGACTCACTTTTTGTGTCCAGTTTTTTATCAGGTATGATGGAAGGATAGAAATACTATCTTTTTCTGTAATTAGATGTAACTAAAAATAATTTTCACAATTTGTTCCCTCACATCTCTGTGTGAGCTTCCAGTCTTCCTCATCTGGACAGAATTTGGGAGCTTTCTTCTCTTTCTTACACAGACATTAGCCTTGTTTTTCTCCATTGTTTCCTTCTATTCTTATCTAGGCTTGATTTTATTTTTTTCATGCCCTGTTTCTTTGCTCCTTCTCTTTCATAATCTTGTCTACTTTTTCCTTTTTAGTCACTTGTTTTTCTTGTCTTTCTGCTATTTTTTATTGCTTGTTTGCTTTTGACTTGTGTCTTATATAGTACAAGATCCTAATGTTTCTGAGTTTTAATGTTCACAGAATACTCTGTTACAAGGTTGCCTTGGGAACTAATGGAAGACTGAATCTTAGAACGTGTGATGCTTTTTGGGGTCAATTGTGATTTGTTCATCTATCATATGCACTTGGAGAAATTAGAAAAAAAATCCCAAGAAAACTGCAGGGTCTCAACTGGGCAAATAGAATAGAGAGAATAAGGACCAGAAAATTAAATTGGTGTCTTATGTCCCCTTTACTGTGGCTCAGCAAAGTGATCACTGTGAAGTGTTTCATTGTGAAGAAGACAGTGTTTTATATACGTGTGTACATATGTGTATATACATACACCATCTATAAACTTTGAAGAGATTGGTTTTACTTTGTGCTTGAAAAATAGTTTTAAGTTGAATATGATTTCTGTTTGTATTTATTTTACTGACAGGTAGGATAGGGCCATTATATTAACTGCTGACATTGCTGGCATTTTAACTAAACACTGTAGTACCAAATAGCTTCAGACGTTTCTTATTCTCAAACTGCAACTGCACACAGTTGTGATACTAGCCAGTCTATGCAGCCTGCTTACGTTATTGGTGCTTATTCACATAAGGAATTTCATTCCTTTTCAGTATTTCCCATCACTGAAATTGAGACTTGTGTAATTGTACCTCATAGCTGCTTCTGAGTACCACCTATGAGACTTTGTGAAAGGCTGTTCAGAGATGTGGTTGTATTGGAGCACAGAAAACAGATTTCTAATAGACCTTTTACTGAGCAGATCCTGCTTATTTTTTATGCAGGGAATAAATCACAAGATAGTGGGATTGCAGAGATGGAGGAACTTCCAGTCCCACACAACATCAAAATAAGTAACATCACATGTGATTCCTTCAAGATTTCTTGGGACATGGATTCTAAATCCAAGGAACGCATTACTCATTACTTCATCGATCTCAACAAGAAAGAAAACAAGAATTCCAACAAATTTAAACACAAGGTAATTTTCATTTAAAAATCCAGGTGGAAATACTTGATTTTAAATAGATTAATCTCAGTGTTTAATTTACCTTTCAAAGCTGGACCATGGGAAAAAGGTATTGGACATCCAGCAAAGATGGGTTTTGATTAATCTGATTGACAATTTTTTTACTCTGAACACCTTCTCCGTCTCTAGCCTCTGTGTGTGCACACCCGAATACATTTGTTTAATAGAGAACTGAGCATTACTGTTTTACCTTTACCATTTGAAATTAAATCCATTTTGGAACCTGTACAGGTTATTGCAAGAAAGACATTTTTATTCGTTACTAGTTCTTAATAATTATTTTAACAATTTACGTATTCTGTACCTGTCCTTGTTCAGTGCCAGACTCATGAGAGCAACACGTGTCATTTCAACAGAAGAATCACAAATTCCAATGCAGTTCAAGGGAAGCTTCCAGCAATTTTAGTTTGTAGCATTCAGCACTGTGACCTGAATATACATCTGGCCCCTACTCAAGTCACTGATGCGGGGACATATTGAATGTATTGCAGAATCTGTAGTTATCAAATCCAGCAAAAATTGCTTTGACCTCAGAATAGTTGAAATACTGAAGTGTCTAGAAAAACATGGAATGAGATAGAAGATTAAATAACACAATCAATCTGCAAATTTTAAAAAAATGTTGGCAATATCTCTAAAAGATGAGGTTTGCCAAGGCACAAATAACCATCCGTGCAAATATGAGAGCTGTAGTTCTACCAACACCTAAATTACTACTGGTTTATAAAACAGTAGGGTAATCAGGAAATATTTCCACCAATTTCTCAGAGGTTTTTTTTTTGTGAGTACTGTTGTATAGCATGTGTATAATTTTCCCATTTCTTTATTTGACTTTTTTTGTTTTTAATGTTGTTAGGAGTAACATTTTCATTAAGCGTAATGAAAAATCACTTACTACTGCTTGAAATCAAAAATTTTACATGCTTGGCCAAGATGTTAGAGTTACTAGGAACCAGCATGCAACGCAATACCAAATTTAATGTTATAATGGCCATTTATTATGACGCATTTTTAATTGTGGTAGCAAATAAAATAGGGTATGTTTGTTTTTTTCTTACTGTTATTACTTTTGGACTGGCAGCTTTTGAATTTCACTTGCCATTTTATACTGCAGGATTAAATATACCTTCTAATATAAATGCTTACTTGGATGGATTCTTTATAATTTCTTTCATTTTATTAATCTACATGTTTTTTCATTCACATGCAAATGGATCTAAAGTTGTAAAATTTGTTTTGTAAAAGGTAGAGCCACTCTAGCAGATCAAATGCTATATTCACTTCAAAATCTATATTACAGTGATGAGACTAGTGTTAAAATGGAAAGAGAGGAAAAAAAGGCTGTTGGTAGTGTGATAAAGATAAGCCATTAGATTTATTTTGTTTTTCTCTGCAATTCCCTAGCTTTTTACTGTGATAAAGTGTTTAGTCAAAGAAGAGAGGTAATTGATTTTGTAAGAATACAGAAGTCTATCAATTAAAATGATGAATAAGTGTCTATCAGTTAAAATGATGAATAAGTTGGATGTCTTGTCAGAATTAACTTAAAATTTATTGGTACTAATCGTGTTAGTGACTTAAGTAAAGCTTTTTTGGATTGTTTTTTTGTTTGTTTGTTTCCCACCTGCCCCTCCCAGCCAGAATGATGGAAATCCAGACAGCAGACAGGGAGGGTGGGTGAGAGAACTGCACAGTCTGAATACTCTAACAACTCTCTGTGCCAGAGCACAGATACATTTGCTTTTGTGTGTCTTTAGTACTAAGTAATTTTTAACATTTTCTAGAATGAGCTTTTGTTGAGAAATTAAAAATTACTCCATTTCAAAATTTGCTATAAGCCTAGTAGGATTAGAGACAAGCATCCCTCCTGCCTTTAATGTTATTTTTACGAGTTTCACAGCTGAAGCTCAGCAGCAGACCTGCTGGGTAGGGAGCTGGAAACCTGGCAGCTGCAGCACCAGGGACTGAATCCTCCCAGAATCCGGAGGGAACTGAATCAGTCCCTACCCATCCATTGGCTTCATGACAAAGCTGTTGTGTAAAGGTGAAGGATATCACTACCCCTTCTCCTAGCAGAGCTTTTCAGAAAGAAAAGAATGAGTCCTACTGCTTAGTTATAAAAAAGAGCATTGGGACTCTCAGAAGTCATCCAGCAGTCAGACTGTGCAAGGACACAGGCATCTTCAAGGGAAAAAAATCATCCTTACTTACATTACAGGTAGGGTAAAACACTGTCTGCAAGTGCCTGTCTCTCTCACAGTTGATAAGCTCAGATGAGCAGCTTAAACTATTTTCTAACTTGTAAGAAACAAGTTAACACAAGTTAAGTTTCAGTTTTCTCACATGACTGCGAGCAAGTGACTTGGGATGCAGACATAACTGATAGATGGGTGCATTGCTTCAGGAAAGGAGGGCTATTTGTTTCCTTGTGTAGCCAGGAAAGCATACATGAATCATCCATCCTTATAATACTTTTTCTGTTGGTAAATATATAAAATATATTCAGCATATTTAGGGTGCATATAGTTTTATTATTTATGGTTATTGTCATCGTATCTGTGAAGGAGGAGATTTTTGTTGGTAGTAGTATTTAAAGACTAGAATTCTAATAAGACTTTGTCTTTTCCTCTATGCAATTTGCATACCTCCACTCTTTTTTAAGATACGGAAGTATGAGTATTCCCGTGTAATAGGAAATGAGGCTCAGATATGTAGCAAAACTAGGGCATGCTGAGTTCCTACAGTGTGTCCTGTGAACAGACCTGGCAAAGGTAAGGATGAGATGAAATGGGAGAAAGCTGAAAATTGAAAGCTGCTTCTTTGGCAATGAAAAGAGATTGCAAAATAGGGAGCTCTTCCCAAAAAGAAGACGCAGTGTGACTCATACACCTTGCTGCTTATTCAGAGCTTCCACGTTGTTCTTGGAAATTATTGCTGTCTAGGTAGCTTTATGGTTGTCTGGTTGGTGCTGGTTGTGGAGCAGCCATCTGCCCTTCCAGAATCCTGGCTGGCTTATAGCCTCCATTGCACTTCTTTGGGAGCTCAGCCAGGAGAGAGCTGAGCAGAAAAGAGATGAAAGGAAGAAATGGAGAATCCCCAGAAAGAACAACAGATTAGAGTTGTAAAAAGTATCATATCTGTCCCTCCTTCCCAGCTGTGCAAGAGATAAAACCTGCTATTTAATGTGGGTTTAGGTAGTCTGCCCTTTTTTGGTACAGTTAGAAGAGTTTCCTGATACACAGCTGTGAGGTAAGGCTTTGACGCTTGGGGGGCTTTTAATGTTACATGAAAACTGACAAAATTAATGGGGGCAAAACCCACCACTGGGTTGTGGGCACAGAGACCTGACCCAGGTGGAGGCAGTTCTTACAGTAGCAGAGAAGAAGAAGTAGTTGACAGGAAGACTAATGGTTGTAACTGTAGCAGCTGCTGACTGCTTTAGCATTAGCAAATGCAGACCAGTAGGATGCCTTTGCATTTGAGGTTACTTTTCTTTTTCCTTGTAATTTTTCTCTATCATCTTTTACATATTATATAATTCAGAGTGCACAATTGAGTCCTTTACAGAGAATGTTTTCTTGCAGCTATTATTTGATTTAAATGAGAATTAGCAAAAAAAACCCATGACAAAATCTTACCCTTGATTATCAGTCAGTCACGTTTCTGTTCTTGTAATATCACGAGCTGCTAATTTTACAGTTTCTCAATACAGAAACCGAAGAATATTTTTGATGACAGAAAAACAATAAAAGAAAAATATTTTTCCATAATAGAAGACAAGGAAAAAAAAAATCTTTCAGGTCTTGCTTACAGATCATGAACAGAAAATGTCTCTTTTCTATTTCTTTTTTCCTTAAGGGACTACTGTGCTAGTATTTATAGGTGGATGACTATGGACTAGTATTTATATGTGGACTGCTATAGATATTACCTAAAATGCCCACTTTTCACATAACAATCATCTTACTATTCTATGATTACTGATAATTATTCAAGAGTAAATATCTCTCACTCTATCAGTCACAGCTCCTTGGGTACACTGTGGAGAGAATCATTCAACTTCACTGTGAGTCCTTTCCCCCACAGTTCTAGCTCATTTTTTACTTCCCCTTAGTAGTCTGTGCTGCAGTCTTTGGTGCCGTAGAAGTTAGGTATTTCAACAACAAGCAGTAGCTATTCTTCTCTGTTGCACTATGGTATGACACATGGGAAGGGCAAAAGAGTATCTGAAGTGGTGTCAGAGTGGGAAGCAAGGGGTGCAGTGACAGGCACAAACCATCTAGCTCTATGTTTGGCTTGTTCTGGCCCTTCCTGTATGTAAGGATATTTTGATGCATGTAAAACACACGTTTACTCTGCAGCATGTTTAATTTTCTCTCCTGAAGTTTGGTTTGGAAGAGATCAACAGCAATATAGGTGGGCTGATTGATGGCAGGAGAAACTTTGGTTACACTGACTGAAACAAAACAATGGGAATGAGAGCACAAGAAGCTCTTAAATTAAGGTATTCTTGTGCTCTGTAGCATGTCTTTCTCTGTTTGCATACTTTAGCACAAATGGCCCTAGTCTGAATTATATTTTTGGGGCTATATATAATAATGTCAGTCTACAGTCACTCAGAACCAAGAAACTCATACATGCATTTTATCACCACAGCTCTCAGAGCCGACCTCAGACATTTGTCCTCAGGCACTTTGTTAACTTTGCTGCACCAGTGGACTGTGAGAAGTAACTAAGGCTTACACAGAGGAGCCAGGGGTTAGGGATTACATAGCAAAAACAGCAAAGGAAGGGGTAGTGGATTGGTTTGGTTGCACTGCTGACTTGTGTGTTGTTTTGTCTTCTTGTTTCCATCAGGATGTACCCACTAAATTGGTGGCCAAAGCTGTTCCTTTGCCTATGACAGTCCGTGGGCACTGGTTCTTGAGCCCAAGAACAGAATACACGGTTGCAGTTCAGACAGCATCAAAGCAAGTTGATGGCGATTATGTTGTTTCCGAGTGGAGTGAAATCATCGAGTTTTGCACAGCAGGTAATAATTGCTGAGGAAACATGCACCACAGGATGTATGCAATTAATGCTAGCTGTGCTGCATGAGTGGCTTAGCCATCTACCATTGCCACCTAGGCTGGTAGGGTTCTAATAGTCACACCTCGAAACTGGAATTCTAACTTTAGGCTGTGTACATGCTCATGTTTGGTGTGTTAATGAGAGGTGGGAGACAGATGGAGTGCCCCTTTCTTCCACAATTGCTTAGCTGCCCCAAAGTGCTGTGCCTGGCACCATTGCTTGTTCTAGGCTGGGAAAGGAAACTGGTGAACTGAAGTGGAGCAGGGCCACTTGTGTGCGCCTTTTGCCAGCTACTAGCATCTGTGAAGAAAAGACAGAGTGGCAGCGCCCTAGCAGGGGACTTAAAACATTCTGCTGCTCTCCCTTCTCTGCATGCTGCAAAGCCTGAGCATCGCCAGTACCCTGTCTGAAGGATCCATTTAGCCTGTCATTGATTTATAAGTCTCTTCCTTTGGATGTTCATCACCTAGTGCCAATGTGCTTGCCTCCCTGAAAGCTGAGAGCTGAAGTGAGCTTTTTATGAATTCCTTGTTGTTGAGATTCCATTTAGGCTGGCTCCTAAGCAAGGCTTTTTAAATAAGTGAATTGTTACTGGCTCACAATCAGGTGCATTGTAGCGAACAGTTTATCAAATGACCTAAGTCAGAGAGAGCAGTGCTCGGCTCCTCTGCAGTCCCAAATACAAGGGAATTTTTTCATGGGGAAAAGAGTGGGGAGAATCAAATATGTGTGTTCCTGCCGTTTGTCCACTGCCACTGATCAAAACTAGTGCTGGGCTATATAGTTTCCGTATAGCTGCTGCATGATGGTGAGGTATGTTACCGAGACTCTGTTGTCAATTTTCAGTAAGTTTGCATGTCTGTGTAGCTTTTGGAGAGTATTGTGGGTTTTTCCTGCTCCTCATTCATACCATTGTCTTTTCTGTCCAGATTATTCAAAAGTTCACCTAACACAGCTATTGGAAAAAGCTGAAGTGATTGCAGGCCGTATGCTTAAACTGTCTGTTTTTTATCGGAATCAGCACAAAGAATACTTTGATTATATCAGGTAAGAAAGAAAACGTACATAAAATTGTTTGGCAAATTAAGGGAGTAATGAAAATAAGTAAATGAAGGTAGCTGTGCTAAAGCCAGAGCAGAATGTTTGTATGCTATATTGCCAGTTCAGAAGAAGGGAAAAATAAAAATAAAGTATAACTAATTTAGTCCACATTGCTTAACTCAGCACTTCTATTAAATTTTGTGTTTTGAAGCAGAAACTGAAGTATTCACAGGGTCTGCAGCCTGATTAAAGTGTCTGTTATCATAACAGTGTTTAGTAGCCAAATACTTCTATTGTACTAAGTAATTCACAGAGTGAGATGTCTAATAGTAGGAATGCACAACTGTGTGCATAGGCATTTGTCTGCATGTAAGAGTTCCACTTCAAATATTTGCTTTCCATGTACAACCACCCGATTTCTATACCCAAATGTAGTTCCTGAGGCTCTACAATCTGAATGTTAATTTATAGATCATGTGGAGAGGGGATGATGTTTAGACAATTTTACAACACTGTGCTTCTGTTGGAATGAATAAATGGGATAGCTGGAGGTAGGTTCCTTATTCCTGTTGGAGACCCAGCGTGCCTTCACGCACGCAACCAGAAGCATCATTACAATAGAAAAGGAGACTTTTCAATAGAAGGAGTCAAAGCTCATGAACTTCCACCGTTAGAAGAACGTGGATGAGAGGTAAGCAGTGTGTCAACATGGGGCTGCTGCTGTGCCATGTAATTCCAGTTTTATGTGGGTGTCACACCTGTCTAGAACTAAAAGTTTTTTAAAACTGGCAAAGAAAAATATAATCAAGGGAATCCAACTCCAAAGAACAGACTCCACCAGCCTCTGGGCATCTGCTCCATTCCAGCAGTGTCTTTTATATTCCAGAGCA